AAATTGTTAAACCCTGATTGATTTTATTCAGTAAATCCTGAGTCAATGTCATCGAATTGCACGCGTAGAAATGTGATCAATCTAAATATAGACCAATCCATATTACACCTATTTTGGTCAAAATATAAGAAAAATCATATTAATTTACATGTATAACTGTCTATCTACAAATAATATATTATCAAGAAACAATCTGACAATATGCTGTACAATGTTGTAATTATGTTGGAATAATTGTCGTGTAGTTCACTGCATAGTATATGCGAACCTCAAAAAAAATCATTCAGGCTTTTAAACCAAAGGCTTTCCATTAATACAGCTACATAATACTATTGTTAGACAACTAGATAACAGTAATTAAGTAAGGTTATCTTTTGCGATATAAGTTAAGCTTTGACTATGATCTAGTATAAAGGATTGATGTATAAATTGGCAAAATATGAAATTAGAAATAAAATGATAGACAAATTGAAAAATACATTAATGATTTTTCAAAAGACGCACAAACGAATAGCATTTTTTTCAATTTCAGAGAATTAGATAAAGTACAGTCAAACTATTGAAATTGCTTTTTATATGTTAAATGATTTGTTATGAGTAGTAAGGTGTAATATAAAGTTATATGAAGACGACACCTTGAAATGTGTTATTGACATAATAACAATCATGTATTCGTCTCCATGAAGATTTACATAGGACAAATTGTGAATGTTTCTAAATCTAGACAAAACTGAATCCCTCGTAGTATTTCAAAAAGTAAATGCAGACAAGCTACATCTAAACTTGGTACTTGATAATATTGTATTGAGAATGTTACATTTGTACCTGTCATAAACAGCTGGGACTATATATAAATGAACAAGGAGACTAGACAGATAACATTAACTATATAAAACATGTAATAAGGCATAGTATTAATTGTAATATTATATGCCACACTTTAAGGATATATATTGGAGTTTGATTCTATCACGACGTATATGGGATGACCGTACAAATCTTGACAGAGATCTTTTGGAATTAGACATGGTTGATGTATTGGTCCAAAAAAAGAAACTGGTCGTATTAAAAAGAGGTAATATGGAGAAATTTATACAAAACAGAACATGATATATATTCATATAACATGATAGTACATTAAATTAATCCAAACATTTATTTATCTCTATGAATTTGTAAAATCTTACATCTTAAAGACAGAGGAGAATAGTAGGCACCCTAGACTTTTAAATATCCCCAGGGTTAGAACTACAGTTTATGCCAATGGTCCTTGAAGTGAATAGTAAAATTATGAATAAAAACATTATTATCTCTTAAAAAGGAATCACAAAAAAAAAAAAAAAAAAAAGTTGTAGGGACAGAGAAGAGAGGGAAACATAAACACATGTATTTAAATATAGGGGTAAAAAGAAAAGTAATATATTAATTAGTAAACAGAGAAATGGTGCTGGTCAGCTTAACTATGCCCTATATAAAGATTACACTAAAGATACGCCAGTTTGTCTCTGTGGTAATGAGATGTAAAATTCTCACATTGCATTGAAGTGAGACGAATGTTGATACAGGAGCAACATTGATATGAAAATTACTGTATATATTGTTTTTAATGGAAGTTGTTATAACACAGATTTACAGAACAAGCATGGGATAGAGTGTGTGCTCTGTGGTAGCGGTAGAATAGTGAAGTTGGCCATTTTAATTGTGTGTGATTTTTACCACTGGTAATCTATTAGATAAGCGAAATATTTCTGTTATTGCCTTTCTAATTAATATACTAGAGTGAGTTGACCATTAGGCAACCAATGCCCAAGGTTTTTATGGTCATATCACTTATTGGTATACTATTGGGGTTTATATAGATTAATGTTTATAATATCTAGCACATGATTGATTGAATGATATGCAAGCCCAGTGCTACTGATCAACCAAACTCTTACACTCAGGTTTAGATATCCCTGACAACGAAACAGATACTTGTAGAGATCTATACATCTCATGATATATTGTTTTGTTAAACATCAATTATCAAACTCCTCGACTGTTATCATGTAGAATTATAATATTTGTTGCTTACAACTTAACACTGTTTAAGATTCATAGCCACATATTTTAATTGTCATGAAATGTAGAATATACTCGCATTAGTATATAGATATATTTCCTTCACTTTGGAATATAAATCAGGAATTATTTTAAAGATGAAATCAGTAGAATCTATATCAATGAAGTCATTAATTCATTCATTTATCTATAATTTTTTTTGTGATAAATTATTCAGGTGTCGAGAGATGAGTATAAAAAGTATCGCGGAGTGTTTTGTATGTATTCAGTAATACCAATATTTAAAACTGTACTGTTTGTATGGAGGAAGAGCTGAAATAGGATATACATACCAGTAACTCATTCATATTGATTTATAATCAATACAATACTATTAACACTAATAAGATACTGTGATCGATACGAATCCGATCATACAATGTATATTGCAAGACATTTTAACCCTGTTCGATAGGATTCGCGTACTTAAGAATACAGTTTTTATCGAGAATCCATCTAGTTTTTTCTGTGGTTTCTAAAGTCCTATTTTTCAAATAAACACATGTTATTGACAAACAGAAAGGAATCTATGTCCAACAGAAAGGAATCTATGTCCAACAGAAAGGAAATCTATTTACAACAGAAAGTAAATATATTTACAACAGAAAGGAAATCTATGTCCAATGTCTAATAGAAAGGAAATTGATGTCCAACAGAAGTAAATTGTTTACAAGGAAACATGAACAAAGGTGAAATGCTTGTCTAATTAGACAATAAACTTCCCGCTTTGAGATTGTTTTAACCCTGTTTATCTAAATAGGTTACCAACGTTACCTGTGTCTTTAGTTGATTACAGGAAGTACCCATATACAATATTTGCCTTCAAACATACAGGAAGACAGAGATAGTATATTTCATAAGGCAAAGTCTAATGAGTTAATCAATTGTCAATTATGTCTAGCTTATACAACATACCCTGGTCTCAATACCTTACCACGACATAGTCATCATTTCCCATTAAACTATATGTAGATGATTTCCGAGATACCGGCCTCCTTACTGTTTGATAAAAGACTGATTAATCAAAGGATAAAGTTAGACAGCAATAAAACAGCAGTGCTTAAACCCTGAACCAACTGATCCTGACAATGGCTTCATTACCTTCAAAGTCTACTCAATGTACGTCAAGCTTCCTTTCACATATGTATAAAGAAAACAAACCAACTAATACATTCTTTATTTTATACTGTCGCTAAATTAATTGTATTTTTTTTTCTAAAATTGCAATTTGTCCTGAATGTTAGGATTATATATTAAATAACGTCTGAAATCCAAATCTGTTTTTGTACCTAACATAACCTATATAGAAGATCGTCCTTACAGTATCATTTAACTACGATTTTTTATATGTTTTATTCCCAGGGTGTGGTTGGTACTAGATATCTCATTGAAGCTGGTTAACCAACAGCGCTGATATACGGCGTCACCCATCTGGACAGCTAAATATAATAGGTCTTTAAAACATCTGTCTAAGCATTTCTGACGGAAGGCCAACTTATAGCTCTCAAGAGACATTAACAGAAAATGTCAGTGGAAATATACATTATGTATATTAGTTACCGTTCGTCTCCCAATTAAGAAAGTAATGTACTGTAAAATGTCAGAAAATACATTGAAATATTGACATGGAGAAAATTGCTGAGGAATGATTATGGCAGTTTGTATAGTAAACATGTAGATATCATTGTATATTTAACAATTTGTCGACCTTCTGGTCAGTTACAAAATATTACAATGTAACATTTTATTACAAAGAATTAATGTTGGTTGTTTTACATACTTCTCTTTACCACTGAGTAATATGCCGTTAAAATGGTCGTGGTTCATTAAATCTGTAACTGAGATATGACTACTGGGACAAAGATACGATATTGCTGTATTGGCTACTTGGAGAAGTCTACAGTATAAATGTAACGAAGATATGGCTCCTAAGACAATGCTGAAGTATTACTGTAACGAAGATATGGCTCCTAAGACAATGCTGAAGTATTACTGTAACGAAGATATGGCTCCTAGGATAATGCTGAAGTATTGCTGTAACGAAGATATGGCTCCTAAGACAATGCTGAAGTATTACTGTAACGAAGATATGGCTCCTAAGACAATGCTGAAGTATTACTGTATCGAAGATATGACTCCTAAGACAATGCTGAAGTATTACTGTAACGAAGATATGGCTCCTAAGACAACGCTGAAGTATTACTGTATCGAAGATATGGCTCCTAAGACAATGCTGAAGTATTACTGTAACGAAGATATGGCTCCCAAGACAACGCTGAAGTATTACTGTAACGAAGATATGGCTCCTAAGACAATGCTGAAGTATTACTGTAACGAAGATATGGTCACTGGGACAAAGATACAACATCGCTGTAACGAAGATATGATACCTGGGTTAACACTGTTGTGTCTCTGTAACGACGATTTGACTGAGCGGACAATGCTTAGATAGGAGCCCTTGTATTGTATATCACGAAAATTATGTCTATGTAATTAGGAATATCCTATTATCAATGGCCATGTTTATTAATCCTGAAACACGAGAAACTGACCTGTAAACCTTAGCACTGTGTTACTGTTATTTTCTAGATGGTAACCCTTAATTGTCAGTGAAGCAACCGCTGTTTATATGTAGGTCACAGAGTGTACAAGAAACTGGTTTTATCATTCTAGCTTCCACAGAAGAAATAAATGAGAATTCTTAATTACCGAAAAGTACCGAAAACAGGTTTCAAAATAGGGGAAAAAAACAACAAATAAATAAAAGCAGACAAACGAAAGAAAAAAATACAATAAAGTATATGTTTTTATCGACACAGATGTTTCTGTATTTTTACTACTGTCGACAGGGGGATGAATGGATGTTTGATAGATTGAGAATTGACATTTCTTTGTTACAGGTTTCCGAGAGTGAGTGGAATCGTTACAACAAATTGTATTACTGGGTAGTAACTAACCCGGCCGGAGTCCTGTACGGCGGACAACAACCAATGGTCAGTATGTTTCTGTCAAATTGATTTAGAGTTTAAAGGAGATGGCAGGTCAAAACTTATTACCAAAATAGCACGAACAATTTTCGGAATCTTCTATTTATACCGAAATACCATTAGGAGTTTTTTTCTTCGATCATGATTGATTAGATCAGAGAATACTGCTGTAGGTATGGAGTTTATTGGACAAAACCTGGAAATTATATATTGGTATGTTTGTGCTGGGTATATCATTGAGTGGTTTGCTTGTTATTCACCGTCAGTTATTCCAAAAGCGTGTGGATATATCTGAACGCTTCAATGGGTTGTACAAAAACACACATCTGAAAAGCAACAGTCTCGGTCGGATTATAACCGGATGGTGTTCAATTCTATACTCACTTTGAATTAAACAAAATAGATTAACTACATTTTTCGTTATTTTTTTGCAGTTGTCGCAGCAGGGCCCGTACATATACCGGGAATATCGACATAAGACGGCCATTTTATTTTCAAGATCACGTGTCAGTTTCAGCAATAACATCAGTCAGGTTTTTGACGTCGCTGCTACAAGGTCTGCCTGCGTCTCTTGTTTGGATACTGATACGGTACGAACTTTGAATTTATCACGTGACACGTCATCAAATGATTCTCCTATGTTATATGATAACAGACATAGCGTGATGTCATCATACCGAGCCGTTGACAATTGAGACGGTACACATATTTAATGGTTACCTTTTTATCATTATAGGCATGCAATGCATTTTGTTCAAATAGATTTCGTGGTGTGCGATAAAGATATATGACATGAACAGTCCGGCATCTTACTATTACAAACATAAAAGGGACATTTTCATCTTTATATTTACGTTTGAAAAAAAAAATCGTACTTTATCTAAAAGATAGACACGCACGTTTTCAAGAAGCATTTTAATCCAAACTGATTTTTTTGCCATCAAACGACACAATGTCAGTCGTTATTCACGAGTTCCTCTATATTTATGATTTATGTGAGATTGCATGGATTTTGAAGTAAATGCATCGGACGAATCTGAGATCTGACAATAGAAAAATAAATAAGTGGACTTTGATGTCATTTCCGGTGAGATATCACATATTTTGTCATGTCATCTATGTATTTTACCGAAATTGACTCAATAGACATTTCCTTGATAAGTTTCAGTGAGATGTTAATCATACTACAATTTGTTTTTTAAAATCTCAAATATCGGCCTAATCCCTGACAAATAATTCCTATCAAAGTTTCGACCACAGATAAAATTTGAGCCTGTTTTTAGCCTGTGTGGTTTTAAGCGATGTAATTCGGGGAAGACTTTAAATAGTCCGCCGTAGTTATTTTATCAATGCTTTCTTTTCCCTTTCCAATTCTACTGGAACTATTTTATACCATACAACTCCGAATATGATGAAAGCAGTTCCGCCTGTTTCACTTCCAAAATATACAATGTGATAAAAAATAATTGAACAAGTCTCAATAAATGCCGGTTTCCTAGGATTCGCCCAATGACGTGCTTCAAGACTCTTGTATGATATATGCGACCCGGGAGGTCCGAAATTTCAGGCTCCAGAGCTGTTGCAGTTTGTGTACAAAATTGCCCAAACATGCCACTTAAGGCTTTTGCTGTCATCTTGTTTATTCAGCGGTGTTAGTAAATGATGACGTTTCATTCCAACTGAACGTGTACCGATTATATTTGAGTCGAAATATTTGTGTAGTCATTCTAGGAAAATTACCCCTGCCGAGAATTGGCGGCTGTATCAACATGCCTGGCTACTTAACACTGTGCTTGGTTAGTGGTTTCAACTGTTAAGACAGATTTATACGCAATGTCTGTATCGTACCTTCAGCAGTCACTTGATCTCTTAATGCCACCGGATAACATAAACGGTTCAAACAGAGTCAGCTTAACTCAGGAAACTCGGTTTTTCAGTCATCCGTGTGTGTACTGCACTCAAGAATGAAATTAAAATGAAAAATAAATATGTTTTGGATTTTAAGGTTCTTACATTTGAGCAGCAAAATTTCGTTGTAAAATTTTTTTGATAAAGGTTGAATTCTTGGTCCTCTTCGGTATGTCATCGTTATGTTTGCTTTATCGTGTTATCTGCGATGTATTAAACGGTTCCTAAGTTGATGCTAAGTGGAATCACGACCACATTTCTAGGAAACTGACGGCATTAACACAATCAATAAACATTTAACTCAAGGTTTGTCTCTTTTACAGATCACTCTTCTGAATGCAAGACATCTCCAGCTCGTTCACAGAGTAAACGGCATGGAAAATTATATTTATAGCCAAATACCGGAAGTTCTTAACAACACGTTGTGGTCCTTAACATCAAAGCAAACTGGGCTTGATGCAGACGTTTTAAAATTCTTTGGATGCCTTAGTAGCGCATGTGTTACCACTTTATCTGCAAATCTTAGCAGTGCTGATAACTTAAGAAATATATCTATTGGAGAGTGGGTCCAAATGAACGACACAGAATATAAAACTGTGCTATTAAATAAAAGGCAAAGCACAGGTTTTCTCGAAACGGAAATGAATGCATTATATAAAAATATTTTAAACTCTACTCTGCTTGGAGTGTCTGATATACAACTTAGAGATTCACAACTACAAAATAGATGTAGTTCTTACGTGTTAGATACACTTTGTAATTCTTCAGCTGAAAGTGGTTATAATCATTTTACTAGTGATGATGCATTTTCAGCGACTTGTGGGTTACTGCCGCTTTTACGAACTAAAACCATAACAAATATGTCGTGTTTAATTCAAGTATCACAACTGTTTTTAACTTTTATGTGCGAAAATGTAAATACGACTTGTAGTTTTGAAAACGATATTTTAGAGTCATTTTACTACTCCTTCCGGGATTTTATACTGCAGACACTGACGGGGGTTGTGTATGAAGCTCTTTTTGTCAGTGGCGTTCATGGAATGTTGGAAACAAGACCCCAGAGGGACATGGCCCTGGGGTATCGGACAGGGGATGGGGTAGACGTACCGGGACTTTTACCCAACACCGTCAGAAACATTAACCCACAATCCTACGTCATGTCCACGTGTCAAGGAGATACCGCCAATGGCAACATGGATGTTAAAAGTAAGATATTTTCTGATCAATCAAAGCTACATTATGAAAATAACTGATTTTATTTCTTTATATCTATAAAAAGCTGATTTTTTAAAACACATATTAACAAATAGGATGTATGGAAACCAAGGATAGAAGTGATAGTCCATCTATACCAATGCTTCATTCCACTCTATAATGTCAACAGGGCACCAGATCTTAATCTTGACAGTTTATGTAACACTATAGAATTATTGTGGGAACGTTGGAAACCATCCTACCTCTCCTTTAATGAGAAAGCTTATAGAAGGTTAATACAACTGATGACAAACCACATTACAGGTTAAACATGAACTATTAAAGAAGAAATGGGAAATTGATAAGTTATTTTACAGATCTACATAATCGGCTTAATGGTGTGACAAACAGATTGTAATAACCAAGATAAAACCATCGACCGTGGCCAAAGTTAATAACAGAGAAACAATCAACCACGTAAAAACATTAAAAAACCGCCCTTGCCTACTGCGACATAGATCGGTGTAACTGTCCGTGTACGTGTACAGTGATAGAAAAGTACACGAATACTTCCTCGTTTGAATTATCGCAATGGGCAAATAGAGATCAAAGAAAAATAACCGGTTTCTTCTCTGGTTAGATGTGCATGTACACAATCTTATTGGTTCTCGTTTGTCACGTGATGGCATGCTTGACTGGTTATTGATACATATTAATGGTGAGATGATGATACGACAAATCGACCATAAACTTCTCTTCCACCTTTTCCTATAATCTTTATGATTTCCCTTTTTGTCTTTTTTTAAAACTTATTGTTATCAGCATTTAGTAGTCAATGTCAGGACGCAGTTCATATAGAGTACACAAGTCCAATATGTCTGTTTTCTAGTGACATAGCAAAGGTATTATTTAGGAATTACGTCATTTGTAAACGGTTTAGGATACGATTGCAAAGTTTTATTTAAACACACGGCACTGTATACAAATAATGCTGCATTACTGACATTCGGTGAAAGCCATTCTGGCGTAAATATTATAATGTTAAGTCTGCCGGAGGAGCGAATGCTTCCCACCTACTAGATTAGAAATGATATTTGTTAAATTTAACTGGATCATTAAGTACTGCTAGAAACGCTTTTCATTCCGAAAGGACACAAAGTGATCTGGTAGGGAAGATTCCGTGCAGACAAGTCTGGAAGGGAAGATGATTGGTAATGACTGGTCTGGTAGGGAAGATTCCGTTCAGACTTGTCTGGTAGGGAAGATTCCGTTCAGACTTGTCTGGTAGGGAAGATTCCGTAATGACTGGTCTGGTAGGGAAGATTCCGTAATGACTGGTCAAGAAGGGAAAATTCCGTTCAGACTTGTCTGGTAGGGAAGATTCCGTAACGACTGGTCTAGAAGGGAAAATTCCGTGCAGACTGGTCTGGTAGGGAAGATTCCGTTCAGACTGTTCTGGTAGGGAAGATTCCGTAACGACTGGTCTGGTAGGGAAGATTCCGTAATGACTTGTCTGGTAGGGAAGATTCCGTGCAGACGATTCCGTGCAGACTGGTCTGGTAGGGAAGATTCCGTAAGGACTTGTCTGGTAGGGAAGATTCCGTAATGACTTGTCTGGTAGGGAAGATTCCGTTCAGACTTGTCTGGTAGGGAAGATTCCGTAATGACTGGTCTGGTAGGGAAGATTCCGTAACGACTGGTCTGGTAGGGAAGATTCCGTAATGACTAGTCTGGTAGGGAAGATTCCGTAATGACTTGTCTGGTAGGGAAGAATCCGTGCAGACTGGTCTGGTAGGGAAGAATCCGTGCAGACTGGTCTGGTAGGGAAGAATCCGTGCAGACTGGTCTGGTAGGGAAGATTCCGTAAGGACTTGTCTGGTAGGGAAGATTCCGTTCAGACTTGTCTGGTAGGGAAGATTCCGTGCAGACTGGTCTAGAAGGGAAAATTCCGTGCAGACTGGTCTGGTAAGGAAGATTCCGTTCAGACTGGTCTGGTAGGGAAGATTCCGTTCAGACTTGTCTGGTACGGAAGATTCCGTAATGACTTGTCTGGTAGGGAAGATTCCGTTCAGACTTGTCTGGTAGGGAAGATTCCGTAATGACTGGTCTGGTAGGGAAGATTCCGTTCAGACTGGTCTGGTAGGGAAGATTCCGTAATGACTGGTCTGGTAGGGAAGATTCCGTTCAGACTGGTCTGGTAGGGATGATTCCGTAATGACTTGTCTGGTAGGGAAGATTCCGTTCAGACTGGTCTGGTAGGGAAGATTCCGTAATGACTTGTCTGGTAGGGAAGATTCCGTTCAGACTGGTCTGGTAGTGAAAATTCCGTAAGGACTTGTCTGGTAGGGAAGATTCCGTAATGACTAGTCTGGTAGGGAAGATTCCGTGCAGACTGGTCTGGTAGGGAAGATTCCGTAATGACTTGTCTGGTAGGGAAGATTCCGTGCAGACTGGTCTGATAGGGAAGATTCCGTAAGGACTTGTCTGGTAGGGAAGATTCCGTAATGACTGGTCTGGTAGGGAAGATTCCGTGCAGACTGGTCTGATAGGGAAGATTCCGTGCAGACTGGTCTAGAAGGGAAAATTCCGTTCAGACTGGTCTGGTAAGGAAGATTCCGTTCAGACTTGTCTGGTAGGGAAGATTCCGTAATGACTAGTCTGGTAGGGAAGATTCCGTGCAGACTGGTCTGATAGGGAAGATTACGTTCAGACTGGTCTGGTAAGGAAGATTCCGTTCAGACTTGTCTGGTAGGGATGATTCCGTAATGACTTGTCTGGTAGGGAAGATTCCGTAATGACTAGTCTGGTAGGGAAAATTCCGTTCAGACTGGTCTGGTAAGGAAGATTCCGTTCAGACTTGTCTGGTAGGGAAGATTCCGTTCAGACTTGTCTGATAGGGAAGATTCCGTTCAGACTTGTCTGGTAGGGAAGATTCCGTAATGACTTGTCTGGTAGGGAAGATTCTGTAATGACTGGTCTGGTAGGGAAGATTCCGTGCAGACTGGTTTGGTAGGGAAGATTCCGTTCAGACTGGTCTGGTAGGGAAGATTCCGTAATGACTAGTCTGGTAGGGAAGATTCCGTGCAGACTGGTCTGATAGGGAAGATTACGTTAGGACTTGTCTGGTAGGGAAGATTCCGTAATGACTGGTCTAGAAGGGAAAATTCCGTGCCGACAGGTCTGGTAGGGAAGATTCCGTGCAGACATGACTGGTAGGGAAGATTCCGTAATGACTAGTCTGGAAGTTAAGATTTCACACCGACTGGTCTAGAAGGGAAAAATCCGTGCAGACTTGTCTGGTAGGGAAGATTCCGTTCAGACTGGTCTGGTAGGGAAGATTCCGTAAGGACTTGTCTGGTAGGGAAGATTCCGTAAGGACTGGTCTGGTAGGGAAGATTCCGTAATGACTTGTCTGGTAGGGAAGATTCCGTTCAGACTTGTCTGGTAGGGAAGATTCCGTAAGGACTGGTCTGGTAGGGAAGATTCCGTAATGACTTGTCTGGTAGGGAAGATTCCGTTCAGACTGGTCTGGTAGGGAAGATTCCGTTCAGACTTGTCTGGTAGGGAAGATTCCGTGCAGACTGGTCTGGTAAGGAAGATTCCGTTCAGACTGGTCTGGTAGGGAAGATTCCGTTCAGACTTGTCTGGTAGGGAAGATTCCGTAATGACTTGTCTGGTAGGGAAGATTCCGTTCAGACTTGTCTGGTAGGGAAGATTCCGTAATGACTGGTCTGGTAGGGAAGATTCCGTTCAGACTGGTCTGTTAGTGAAAATTCCGTAAGGACTTGTCTGGTAGGGAAGATTCCGTAATGACTAGTCTGGTAGGGAAGATTCCGTGCAGACTGGTCTGGTAGGGAGGATTCCGTAATGACTTGTCTGGTAGGGAAGATTCCGTTCAGACTGGTCTGGTAGGGAAGATTCCGTTCAGACTTGTCTGGTAGGGAAGATTCCGTAATGACTAGTCTGGTAGGGAAGATTCCGTGCAGACTGGTCTGATAGGGAAGATTACGTTAGGACTTGTCTGGTAGGGAAGATTCTGTAATGACTTGTCTGGTAGGGAAGATTCCGTAATGACTGGTCTAGAAGGGAAAATTCCGTGCCGACAGGTCTGGTAGGGAAGATTCCGTGCAGACATGACTGGTAGGGAAGATTCCGTAACGACTAGTCTAGAAGGGAGAAATCCGTGCAGACTGGTCTGGTTGGGAAAATTACGTAAGGACTTGTCTGGTAGGGAAGATTCCGTAAAGACTGGTCTAGAAGGGAGAAATCCGTGCAGACTGGTCTGGTAGGGAAAATTACGTAAGGACTTGTCTGGTAGGGAAGATTCCGTAACGACTGGTCTAGAAGGGAGAAATCCGTGCAGACTGGTCTGGTAGGGAAGATTCCGTAAGGACTTGTCTGGTAGGGAAGATTCCGTGCAGGCTGGTCTGGTAGGGAAAATTACGTAAGGACTTGTCTGGTAGGGAAGATTCCGTAACGACTGGTCTGGTAGGGAATATTCCTCGTGATGCTATAGCAGTCCTCTTTTTGTTATATCTGTATCGATTTCAGACCTTTTTACCTCTAAATGTTTCATACAGATACTATCCGACTCATGCGTATATTATTTTGTCACAATTTGGATATGGAAAATAGGCCAAGGTCAATATGAGATTAAAACGTATGTATATTAGTAGGCTAATCAGAACACGTAAAGTCTAAAGCAACATGTCCTGATTCGTGCTGGTGTTGGACACTGGAATCGTTAGACTGACTTGTCTCATTATTTATCTATAATATATATACTTTGGCTATTTATCTGTACTGTTATCTTGTGCAATCATGCTCAACTCTTTGGCATGATCAGGTAATACGTATCTAGAAAATTGTTTTGTTTAATCTGTCAATCAAGGCTTCATGAGCACTTTTTTGTATTTAGCTCATATCGAACGCGCCAAATGTTCAGCATTTTTCTATACATACATTAAACCTCCTTGAGGGATTTAGTGGCTACATACTTTCAGGAAAGTCCTATTAAATTGGATGTTTATAGATTACACTAGCATGTCAGCTTTTATACCTAACATCGAAGTATGTTGCGGCAGTATTGATGAGATCAGGAGATCTCCCGCGACAGAGATTGAATGACGATGTTCTGTCGATCGATGATCGATCAGTGCTAAGCAGTGCACGTGAGACAACCTAACATGGATCTATACTTACAGTAGATCGGTTGATGAGGCTGATAAACTCCTGATCATAGAGATTACCCTTTTACTAATTGATTTCAGGACATGACCTTTCACATCAATATTTATACAGTAAAAGGCAAATACTTTGTAGAAACGTTTATTTGACATTTGCATGCAATTTGTTTGATCTATGGCTTCTTCACATTGTCTTATCACTCTTCAGTGCATTTTTGAAGTATATTTATACTAACATTGCATGGTTAGTACCGCTTTATAAATGTCATATCAACAAAGGTCATTTCCATGTTGCGAAATTAGGTAACAGCACTTTCCTTCATTCCTCTATAGTTTCGCCTCTTAACCATCTGAATCCCGCCCTTGTCCCCGCCCCTGTTCCGCCCGCCCGTCCTGAATTGTTGTAATACTTTCGTTACGTTACGATGTAGATTAATCACCTGTGCGCGATAATGAGTTGGTCTACCGATGCTGAAACCCGGCTTGATCTGTTTAATTACAATTGTATTCTTAAACACATATATAAGATAACACGGCAATATATCCGGTAACTTTGTACCATTCAAAAATCAAATTTCATGACACATTGATTTTGAAGTTAAACAGCATGTCTATGGTCTGCTATGCTTGTAATTTTGCCAAACGTTGATGAAAACATGGATCATGTAAAGATTTTGTCTCTATAGTGATTTTATATTAATTTTAACTCAGATATCAATTATTTACCTCCCTGTGACTTTTTCTTCTTAATACTTTTCCTTTTTGACAATGCTCTGTCATTTTGTCTATTTTTCTCCTCTTTCGCCATTTGCCCATGTTGTGTTGTTTTGTTTCTTTTTGTCCATACTCTATGATTTTGTCTACTTCTCTGCTATTCTGGTCCGTGTCCATGTTCTATGGTTTGTCTGCTTCTCTGCTTTCCGCTCCGATTTGATTTGCATTTTTTGTTCTTTTAAAATGCTTTCTAGATTTTCACGCTTAATAAACCCCTCCCATCACCGAGACAACCTAGAAAGACATCCGAATAATTCTAACTCATTATTAAACACAGGTCATACAGTCTACCCTGTATTAAACGGCCACTGTTGGGAGGCCTCTTAATTGAGGTTCCTTATTATCGAACCCAAGTTGCGGCAATTTGCACAATGACATTTGAATACAGTTTAATAATAAGATGTAAAACATCATCTGTTATTATTTATTATCTTGTTAGCAAGTAATTTGAAGACAGACTAATCTTTATTTTATGACACAACTATAAATACAAAAGAACAAAATTGAAAGGAAGGCATGTACAAGTTGTAATGAAGCTATTGAAAAATTCTTAATCGAACAACCGTAATGTTCCACCTGTAATTTCGCATGTGATTCAAGTGAAAACATTTTCTTCATGGTTTGGTTTGTTAATGTAAAATCATTCCCAATAATTGTTAATATTTGTTTAGATATATTACATTTACGACCAAGAAAACGTAAACACCAATTATTCATTCTTAATCTGCTTGCGTTTTCAATCAAACACTCGATGCCATGTCTAAACGTAAAATACCGGTTTTCGATACATATCGATTACCGGTACGGAGCCCTATCTTCAAGAGTTAAAGATTTTCGTTTGCTGCTCATATTTCGAAGTGATTTGCCACAATAGTGATAATATGCCTGTATTGTGTATACCAGTGACGTAAATGAAATCAAACTTAATAGATAATGCATGGTGAATTGTGTTTACGTGTCATCAGCTCTTTTCTTGTAGGAATGTTCATGTGGCGAGAAAACGGAACTCGCAGTCAAGAAAGCTTGTCAAATGACTTGTGGTCAAAACGGCCGTTTAAACGAGGTTCGATCGCGAGTTTGGGGAGAAAAGGGTGGCCGCTGGCCGCGTTAGACAGGTGGCCGTTAAATTAGGTATAATTAATGAGCAAAAACGATTGGGAGGGTCTGAAAACGGCCGTTATAAGCAGGTGGCCGTCTAACTAAGGTGGCCGTTATGACAGGTTAGACTGTACTTTATTGATAATGAAAAGTGGTATTCACTTTGCGTCTTTTGTAAATCCTCTTTGTAATTATACCCATTTTCCATTTCCTCGATGACTAGGTGATTTTCTCGAGTTCATTCGTTTCATGGTTCAACTCCATACTGTGATACAACCTATTGCTTTTATAAGTACTGAAAGACAGTGGGTTTACGTGTAATTGAACTGACAAGTCCATCTAATGTTCATTGACTTGACCGACCGCAGTATAATTAGCGGTGGCGTTCAATAATTAAACCCACGTTATCCCTTTCCCTCTATAAAACGATAATATATAGCCCTCTCCACACTGCCGTCTAACGGTTTCCAATAAAGTCCATATTGATGTTATTTTACAACTATTTTGTACTTTAATAATGTATTTGCCGGTGGCCATCGCCACGTGACCCTATATTGTCAATGTGTAAAAATCGAAACAACCCGAACCCATCACATATTCTATAACAAGAATGGATGTTTGGTCACATCACATTCTTTTTCACTCACCTGATTATACATGGCTACCAGTACACAACTGGCTTTTGACAATGACTGAAGCTTGAATTCATTGACTCAACACATTATATATTGATATTCGCAGACTAGCCGTAACAAAATTACCATATATTATATAAGAAACAAAAGGTGGTGGTGATTTTAACGTTCATTGTCTTACCTGATTACAGTCATCTAAAGTTAATACATTGGTCAAACGAATTCCAACCAATTGTAATTAAGGGTATTGTGGCTCCTGACTGTAATTATGGGTATAGAGGCTACTGACTGTAATTATGGGTATTGTGGCTCCTGACTGTAATTATGGGTATAGAGGCTACTGACTGTAATTATGGGTATAGAGGCTACTGACTGTAATTATGGGTATTGTGGCTCCTGACTGTAAGTATGGGTATAGAGGCTACTGACTGTAATTATGGGTATAGTGGCTACTGACTGTAATTATGGGTATTGTGGCTACTGACTGTAATTATGGGTATAGTGGCTACTGACTGTAATTAATGGTGTTGTGGCTCCTGACTGTAATTATGGGTATAGAGGCTACTGACTGTAATTATGGGTATAGAGGCTACTGACTGTAATTATGGGTATTGTGGCTACTGACTGTAATTATGGGTATAGAGGCTACTGACTGTAATTATGGGTATTGTGGCTACTGACTGTAATTATGGGTATAGTGGCTACTGACTGTAATTATGGGTATTGTGGCTACTGACTGTAATTATGGGTATAGTGGCTACTGACTGTAATTAATGGTGTTGTGGCTACTGACTGTAATTATGGGTATAGTGGCTACTGACTGTAATTATGGGTATCGTGGCTACTGACTGTAATTATGGGTATAGTGGCTACTGACTGTAATTAATGGTGTTGTGGCTCCTGACTGTAATTATGGGTATAGTGGTTACTGACTGTAATTATGGGTATAGTGGCTACTGACTGTAATTGTGGATATCGTGGCTACTGACTGTAATTATGGGTATCGTGGCTACTGACTGTAATTATGGGTATAGTGGCTACTGACTGTAATTAATGGTGTTGTGGCTCCTGACTGTAATTATGGGTATAGTGGTTACTGACTGTAATTATGGGTATAGTGGCTACTGACTGTAATTGTGGATATCGTGGCTACTGACTGTAATTATGGGTATCGTGTCTACTGACTGTAATTATGGGTATAGTGGCTACTGACTGTAATTAATGGTATTGTGGCTACTGACTGTAATTATGGGTATCGTGGCTACTGACTGTAATTATGGGTATAGTGGCTACTAACTGCAATTATGGATATCGTGTCTACTGACTGTAATTATGGATATCGTGGCTACTGACTGTAATTAATGGTATTGTGGCTACTGACTGTAATTAGGGGTATAGTGGCTACTGACTGTAATTATGGGTATCGTGGCTACTGACTGCAATTATGGGTATAGTGGCTACTGACTGTAATTAATGGTATTGTGGCTAAGGACTGTAATTATGGGTATCGTGGCTACTGACTGTAATTATGGGTATAGTGGCTACTAACTGCAATTATGGATATCGTGTCTACTGACTGTAATTATGGATATCGTGGCTACTGACTGTAATTATGGATATCGTGGCTACTGACTGTAATTATGGGTATCGTGGCTACTGACTGTAATTACGGGTATCGTGGCAACTGACTGTAATTATGGGTATTGTGGCTACTGACTGTAATTATGGATATCTTGGCGACTGACTTGTGTTGAATTTTTCATTATTATTTCCCGTTATAACGATTATTGTAATCACTAAATCCTATTAAGAATATTATTACTTTACAGCATTTCGAGATGCCATCATTGATTCCTCGTGTTCTGTAAGTGTGAACTCAGCATGCCATAGTACATCAGGACATAGTTTATTTTCTACACCAGCTTCATCATATACTGCATGTGTCAAGCCGAATCCAACCACAGTGCTTCCGATGTTTGAGGAAATTATACACTACCCACTCTCTTTCGTGAAACCATTGGAAACAGAGATGTTCGGTATCCGGGTTCATCGTTTCCAGCTGGACACAAGTAAGATTTCTAATATGGACGCTCTAATTTAACTTCGGATAAATCTTTTCATCATCGCTGATGGTGTTAAACATGATATCAAAGGAGTTCTCCCTTGGTAACGATTAATTAACCTTTCTTAATTGAAATTATCGATGTTAAATATACTTAATTTTAATCCTTATTCAGACGTATGATATTGATGTTGTCTCGGGTACATATATTTATTTATATCATTTCATTCTTTTTTTTATCTTGTTGATGTTACGAAGTGTACATGTAGCACTACTTTTTACAGATGTCTACAGCACGTCTAACCTTTACCCCTGCCAGATTCACAACGTCACATCATTGCTGCAGTTTCCCGCCATCGTCAGTGTACCGAATGCTTACCCGTGTTCTGCTGAAGCAATGACTACTTCGGATTCATTTGTAAGTAGAGTCACATTCTAATCGGTGTTTGGGCTTTAGTTAACAAATACTATTATCATTCACATGTTTTTTCATCATTGATACTCCAGTTTGGCTGCCATTGGAACGTATCACATACCTAGTACATATATATTCGCAACGCCATGGTCTAGTTTAGAAGTAGAGTAGAAAATTCCACTTTGTGAAAGGTAGTGGAGCAGATAACCCAAACAATTATTCATTTGATAATACAAGCATGGAATTTGGCAGAAGTATTTATTGCATGCTAGAGGTTAGGAAAAAAGTGCTGGCCACCTGAAATTCCAAAATGGCGACCATTTTCCAAGATGGCAGCCATATGACGCCTAATTTTGAAAAATGATAGTATACTATTGTATAAATGCAGTTGTTTAGTGGGCTATAGTGGGTTTTATTGTCATGACATTACTGAGTTTAATCAGAGGAACATTGCAGGCCTCTCAGGAGTTCAATATGGCGGCCTTTTTCCAAGATGGCTGCCAAATAACTGACTTGATATGCAATATTTTCCACTTTATTGGTATGGCTATTCATAGTATTTTGTTCATAGAAATACGAAATTGTGAGCTATATTGGGTATATTAACCCATTATTAACTATGTCTAAACTCGGGATCTGTGAGCACAATTGATGTGTAACGTCTATTCTCCATCCATCATTGTGTACCATACTCTCCATGAACAAGGTAGATGCTTGTCATGTTATAAATCAGTAATCATGGATATAGTCATTGTTATCCAGACAATTATGTTGCTTGTAAGATGATAGCAGGGCCAGAACTACCTCCATGCTTTGAGGTTTAAGGTTTTGTGGGGGTTAAAAGAAGATGCACGGAAGAAATTTATAACATGCCAAGAACCAGCTAATGCTTTAGCTGGTATGATAGGATGAGCTCGCTTATTGTTCTAGTGTTCCAGTAGAAGCTTGACAAGGGCAGCTGCAAAGTGCAGTACAATGTAGCCCAGTCTTTTTACATTTTCATCTTCCACCACAGTCAGTCTTGCATCCACATTTTGTCAGTTCCCTGCAGCTTTTAGAAAGTGAAGTCCACACGATTTTCAAGGAATCATCTTCCTTCGACGATATCCATTGCGAAGGACACTGAAGTTCTGGATAACGTATGACACATTGTCCCCAAATATGACCTGCTTGATAGGCATTTGGCATGTTCCTTAAGTGCATTGTGAGTTGGTGGGATTAAGTCAAATGACCTCTGCTTCCGTGAAAGAGATCATGTCTCGCGTCGTCTACTGATGAGGTTGCACTGGACCTGGTATACATGAGAACTACATATTTCTCCAATGCTTGTAAATCAGACTCCTCAAATTTCAGATGGGCGGTGACTGAGTTTCGCAAATTTGGCTGAAACTTCATTGAATACATTCAATGTCTGCCAGGCTGTCTTTTTTCCCTTGCCATTGAAACAAGACACAACATCACACCCTGTGAAAGCATGGAAGAACATTCCTTTGGATTTCTCTGGTCAAAGATTAGACACAAGGTCATGTTTAGAAATTCACCTAGTGTGTTCCCCCTTTCTGCATCTGATCCACATTTGCTTGAGACCGATTGCAGTGACAGAAGGCATCAGAGATATGGCAATTACTACAATGTCCGTGTCATTTGCATCAACCAGTATAGACTTGTAGCCCTACCTAGCTGCATGCCAGGCATGTAAGAATATCCGTGTGTCAGCATCCTCATGGGTACAGGGTGCCAATTCCTCCAAGCTCAAGATGGTGTTATTGGCACAGGTGAGGACGTTTTCCTCCCTGCATTGGGACTGCATCGCTTGTGGTCATTTCAGTTATGGCGTCGGCAAGGATGTGGAAGAGTTCAGATTTGTTAGTGCTGTCTCGATGGAAGCTCTTTCAGCTTGCAGGCGGTTTGCTCTTTGCGATAACTCTCCTCCTGATGGCCTTTCCACGTTGAGATCTGGCTTCTGAATTCAGGCTAGTCTTATGGAATACATCGAAAATGATGTCTGTTCTCTTGTGTGCGTGTTGCTGTAGTTCTCCACCAAGGGAAGGATATACTTTTTGGCATATTCCTCAAATGTCTTTGGTGTTTTCGGTGCAAAGGTGCAGTGAGGCCCCATCAACAATTAATCAGTACAGATTCTGGAAGCTGGACTTTCCCTTGGAGAATTTCCACAAGATCTGACTTGATGCTTGGACGTAGGTTACCATTCTTGCTGAGAGAGGGGGAAATGTACTCTCTCTGAGTTGTATAAGTCTGCCAAGCATCGAAGGTGATACTTCAGCTCTTGGGCAACAACATCACCAGCACTTAACTTTGCTAGGAGCTTTCCGTTGTTTAGGCTCCGGACACACGGATTAAGCCTTTCATTCAGCTGCATGGTCATTGCCTGTCTTAAATTCGATATTTTATCATCTTCTTCGCATAAGAAGCACCGTACTTTTGGAGGGTCTGAGGTCCTTTGTCTCTTCCCGCGGTTCTCTTCTGTGCCTAATGCACTGGGGGTAACTGCCCTTTTCTTTGCTCTTGTTAGTTTTGTATTATTGAACAAAAGTCGGCAGCTGTTGTGATATTTTGCTTTATTTCGTATCAGTGTGGCTTCTATGCCTTCTCCTTCATCTAGCCGTACTGGATTAAATGGTATTGGCATATCATTAAGGACATGAAACAATGGCACATTTCTTGCAATTTTATTATATCCATCATAGTCCTGTTTTCTATGAAATGTGGTAAGAGGTGAAATTAGAGTTTCATCCCTTTTGTCCACTTGACAAAGGCAACATTTACTCCGGTCAGTTTGCTGTCTTGTTTTGGCATCCATAGCGAGAGTTGTTGAAGTTGTGTAGGCCGAGGGTTTATCCTTTTACCACCTTACCCACTTTGATGTAAGGAATACAGTTAGGTTCATGCTGCTGCCCTACACCTAACCCGATCGTTCATCCAATATCTTTTAAATCCCGTGCGATCTGTACACCATCCGAATTACAATAAAGCCCCTGTTATCCTTGGCTTGACTCTCCAGCGCTGGCACATCCTGTCCATTCAGGTGCGGCTATCCAATCCTAGGGGCTGACTAGATAGCATTTGGGATACTAAACCGGAGTTTAGCTGATATTGAACCCCGTGCTAAGGTTCCACAGCAGTGTCTGTTACCAGGGTGCCCTGGTAGTGAGCAGCATACACTCTCTTAATAAAATCTGCACCACCCTCCTTCTGTGGTTTACTTTCGTAGCTTTCGTTCTCCTAGATCAACTGAGCTCATCCTCTTTGCCACCCCGGCATTAGCAGTCCTTTATAGGGGCAAAAGTTTGAAAAAAAAAAACGTTTATGACAGTTTTTGGCGGCCATATTGGAATGTTTGATGGCCAGCACTTTTTTCTGAAAAAGTGACTCACAGAGAATATTCATACAAAATTTCATGCTTGTATCACCAACTGAACGATTATGCCAAAAAATCATATTTAGCTGCTCCACTAAGTGATGTGTTGGCTTTTCAACCGATCCAGTAACGTATAATGTTAGCTAATCATCTCTACAGATAGAACTTCGGGAACAGTCAGCTGCATGATACTGGTTAGGATACTTATAATTGGTGAACTTTGGAACGAATAAGTCACACTGTTCCGTTGACTATATTACTATAAATATTAATCTTAGCCACGCGGGGCCATCTTGTATCGTGTACCATCATATTTCACACCAATCAGTGATCTGTCAGTGTGAGTGAAGCGAGGTCATCATGATATTACATTAAATTTTGTTCTGTCATAAAACCAATCAGACACTTGAAAAGAGTTTATTATTAAACTGTTTCGCTGCTGCGCTGAGAGAGGCGGTTCTTGGAAACTAAGATACTTACCGAAAAATTTTAAGTGAATCGTTCATGTTAACACGTATTTGTCTTGTATAGGTGGACGTTGAACCTTTCACAGGAAAAGTTTGGCGGAAAGTTGTCAGGCTGCAGACTAACGCATTGGTGGAAGACGGCTTTTTTAACGCTCCTGGCATGCTTCCATACAATGTGTCTGTGAATGCGGGCCCCTTTCCCGTTTACTGGAGGGAAACGTTAATACACATCACAGAGACTGCTAGTACTCACCACCATGACAAGGTCCGTCCTAACAATGTCAAACACCTTGTTTGTCAATTTAGATAAAAAAAAAATGTTGTTTCAAAGGGACACATTAATGGCCCATGGAAGACATCTTTGTTTTCTGTAATATGGTCTTATCGAGAGAAATAATCAATTAAGTTACTGATTGATGCTGATATTTAGCGTTCCAGAAATATTATATTAATACAATTGAAAGCAGCGCAAATGAATGCTAACATTTGTAACTGGTACAATGTTATGCAACAGGTTATTTTTAACTCAATGAAATTTTTAACTATTGTATGAGAATAATTCCATTGTCATCCCAAAGATTTCAGCCTTATTCTAAATTATTAATCTTTATACCGTTCACTAAGTTAAGGGTATGTAATTATCACTTCGCCTTCGGTTATGAGCCTGAAATACTTTCATCGGACTTACCTCCCTTTGACAATAGCATAATTGATAAGCTTGATTCAATTCAAATTTAGTATGAATCATGACGGCCAAGAATAAAAGTCAAAGGTCACCCATGCCTACTTTTGAAATAATAAGTTTGTGTGTCCTATGAACCTCTCGAACCCCTCAACAGATTTAAGTAAACATATCAAGGAATTTTTGATATATCTATGTTAGCCTTTACCACTCTGTTTTTATTGCTTTATAAATGGACGCTCAAGAGAGTAACACATTTTTCGTTGTTTTGGTGTTTATATGACAAATAGACAATTGCTTGATTTAATGACAATCGCCATAATGTCGCTTATTGGCATAAGTCTCACCCGAAGAAGTAGACAGATACACTTGTCAGTTGTTCTTGTTCCACTTGACACTGACCATATCTCGACGATGTTGGCAAGTGCAAATTTTTCTCATAATTCTTCATATACATTTTTGTAGCTTGCTCTTGTTTTTGTCCTTAGGTCACCAAATTAATGGAAGCCTCGTGTGGTGGACTTATAAGTCTCAGCATCATATCTGTCATCGTCGTTATCATCAGTATCTTCATCGTCATTAGACCTCATCGGATGCTCAGGCGGGTGGCTCCACTGCGACATGATGTAGTGGAGGATGACGTCTCGCAGTGTACAAACAACATTAATTGAGCCAAGATATCAAGTGAATTAAACCACGATGCTGATGCTGCTGTATTACTATATCCGTCCTTTAAAAAATGCCAGATATTTGGTAAATACATGTATTACAGATGCCCACGAACAGGTAATTCCTAAATTATTGCTCTCCTTTTGTGAAGTTCCCAGTTTTCAATGTTACAATCGTCCCACTTAAACAACATATTTCTGTAAACAATAAAATATTTTTTTGACATATTTACGCTTGGTGGAATTGTAAAGTCACGAATCATATATTTATGAAGCATACACTATGTCCTTTCTGTCAAAGGATTGTTTGTATCGATGAGAGGTAGTGTTTGTGTACATATGTTTATTTTTGTACTTGTTTATCTATGTCTGTGATACATTGCGATATATCATGTTGAAGATGCTTTGTTCCTTTAATTATCATCAATCAATGTGTCCCGTGGCCGTTTGAGTTCTCTATATGAAAAGCATTCGCTCAAGATACAGCATGAAAATTTAGTTTTGAAGTAAATGGTTAGAAGTTAATTTATCTTTAACAATTTGATATATCACTTCAAGCCTTGATTTGTATGTATCATGTATGTTTTGTTTTAGAACAATAAAGATTGTTATACAAATAGTTCAAGGATCTAATAATTTGTATTTTAATCTCTTGAAAGAATGATGGCATATTAAACAACGATATTTCAAACCTATTTTTAGGAAGACAGCTATAGCGACATTTAGAAAAGATAGGATTATGCTGCATGTTTGTGCTAAAATGATTCTGTTTCCTCTATCCACTGCCCATCAGCATGTGATATTGTTTCAAAAACCGTTAAGGTTTTTTAACATTTTAATTGATATCGATCAAGAGAGAAACTTCCTAGTGTGCATAGGACACTTTGTCTTAATTATGTTATTTTTAAGGAACTTTGATGATTATTATCAACGCAAAATGTTACAAATGTTGTGGCACTAATCAATCAGCTGAACATTTACTCTTATTGTATAACATACCAACGTTTTAGTGCGAATACATTTTGCTTGCTATTGCAAAAGTGCGTATTTGGAAAAAAACCGAAACCCAATAGAAATAACAAAACATGTCATAGGTTTGAAAATTGTCTGTCTTATTGCCATATTCCCTGTGTAATACATGGTTTAAAATTCTCAGAATTATTCATCTCTATGCAAATATTTAGTAAAGGTGAAAGATAAAAAGTGAATTTCTAGAAAAACATATCACCGTTCTCGCAAGCCCAAATATTGGTTGATTGGTTGACAGAATATACTGATGTGTTGATAATTTGTTTCCCTGTGTAATACAGGGTTAGAAAAATGAGTAAATACTCTTAAATTGTTCCTCTCCACGGAAATCTTTAGTAAAAGGCGAAAGATTTATTCGTGGTTTTGAAGAGAAACCAGAGTACTTATGAGAGAGAATGAATAGGATTATACGTAATGATTGGAATCATTTGACACGGTGCCTTACTACAAACACGTTGATTTCGTTCTTTCAACTTCGATTGCATAATCCCTCATCAATCCCAAAGCGAATACTTGAAGAATTAAAGTACATCCTGATATTTTGATATCGAGAATCATTACAGTTTCTCAATAATATCTGAATTACAACATTTTAATTGTATGCTTTTCAAGTGATAATGCCATTGTGAACGTTTCGTCAAAGCCTTTATTTCTTAAAATGACATAGGATATTTGACTTCTTTGTTAATGTTAACCGCTGCACAGGCTCTTTTGAAATGAATATTTAATTATAAAAACGTTGTAGATAATTCGGTCAATAATTATAGGTTGGGGAAACCTCGTTGCCATGTAGTGATGCCAGTAAATTACTTATTCTGATGCTGTCAAGTCCTACATAGCGAGATTTGTTTGTACCTGCAAACCAACGAAGAGTTTGCTGTCGGTTCAGTTCAGTAACTCCTTCGATGTCCGACCACCTAAATGCCAAAGGCCGAAAAGATACAAATATCTTAAAGCAGTGATTTTACTTAGTCGTTTCGAAGGCTCATTTCAGACGTCTCAATAGCGCGAGAAAGAGTTTAATGTGAAAAAAGTAATATTTGCAAATAAAAAAACAGGCAATATCCAGTTACCGTTTGATATATTGTATTGTTCGTGAACATATACGTTTTGCTTTCTTGTTCACGACATAATATGTATTTGATTCGTTAACACAAACATCTGTGAATCGGAACAAGTTTCAATATGTTTGAATATGATGATAATTTGTTCCCCTGTGTAATACAGGGTTAGAAAAATGAGTAAATACTCTTAAATTGTTCCTCTCCACGGAAATCTTTAGTAAAAGGCGAAAGATTTATTCGTGGTTTTGAAGAGAAACCAGAGTACTTATGAGAGAGAATGAATAGGATTATACGTAATGATTGGAATCATTTGACACGGTGCCTTACTACAAACACGTTGATTTCGTTCTTTCAACTTCGATTGCATAATCCCTCATCAATCCCAAAGCGAATACTTGAAGAATTAAAGTACATCCTGATATTTTGATATCGAGAATCATTACAGTTTCTCAATAATATCTGAATTACAACATTTTAATTGTATGCTTTTCAAGTGATAATGCCATTGTGAACGTTTCGTCAAAGCCTTTATTTCTTAAAATGACATAGGATATTTGACTTCTTTGTTAATGTTAACCGCTGCACAGGCTCTTTTGAAATGAATATTTAATTATAAAAAGTTGTAGATAATTCGGTCAATAATTATAGGTTGGGGAAACCTCGTTGCCATGTAGTGATGCCAGTAAATTACTTATTCTGATGCTGTCAAGTCCTACATAGCGAGATTTGTTTGTACCTGCAAACCAACGAAGAGTTTGCTGTCGGTTCAGTTCAGTAACTCCTTCGATGTCCGACCACCTAAATGCCAAAGGCCGAAAAGATACAAATATCTTAAAGCAGTGATTTTACTTAGTCGTTTCGAAGGCTCATTTCAGACGTCTCAATAGCGCGAGAAAGAGTTTAATGTGAAAAAAGTAATATTTGCAATTAAAAAAACAGGTAATATCCAGTTACCGTTTGATATATTGTATTGTTCGTGAACATATACGTTTTGCTTTCTTGTTCACGACATAATATGTATTTGATTCGTTAACACAAACATCTGTGAATCGGAACAAGTTTCAATATGTTTGAATATGTTGATAACTTGTTCCCCTGTGTAATACAGGGTTAGAAAAATGAGTAAATACTCTTAAATTGTTCCTCTCCACGGAAATCTTTAGTAAAAGGCGAAAGATTTATTCGTGGTTTTGAAGAGAAACCAGAGTACTTATGAGAGAGAATGAATAGGATTATACGTAATGATTGGAATCATTTGACACGGTGCCTTACTACAAACACGTTGATTTCGTTCTTTCAACTTCGATTGCATAATCCCTCATCAATCCCAAAGCGAATACTTGAAGAATTAAAGTACATCCTGATATTTTGATATCGAGAATCATTACAGTTTCTCAATAATATCTGAATTACAACATTTTAACTGTATGCTTTTCAAGTGATAATTCCATTGTGAACGTTTCGTCAAAGCCTTTATTTCTTAAAATGACATAGGATATTTGACTTCTTTGTTAATGTTAACCGCTGCACAGGCTCTTTTGAAATGAATATTTAATTATAAAAACGTTGTAGATAATTCGGTAAATAATTATAGGTTGGGGAAACCTCGTTGCCATGTAGTGATGCCAGTAAATTACTTATTCTGATGCTGTCAAGTCCTACATAGCGAGATTTGTTTGTACCTGCAAACCAACGAAGAGTTTGCTGTCGGTTTACTTCAGTAACTCCTTCGATGTCCGACCACCTAAATGCCAAAAGCCGAAAAGATACAAATATCTTAAAGCAGTGATTTTACTTAGTCGTTTCGAAGGCTCATTTCAGACGTCTCAATAGCGCGAGAAAGAGTTTAATGTGAAAAAAGTAATATTTGCAATTAAAAAAACAGGTAATATCCAGTTACCGTTTGATATATTGTATTGTTCGTGAACATATACGTTTTGCTTTCTTGTTCACGACATAATATGTATTTGATTCGTTAACACAAACATCTGTGAATCGGAACAAGTTTCAATATGTTTGAATATGTTGATAATCTGTTCCCCTGTGTAATACAGGGTTAGAAAAATGAGTAAATACTCTTAAATTGTTCCTCTCCACGGAAATCTTTAGTAAAAGGCGAAAGATTTATTCGTGGTTTTGAAGAGAAACCAGAGTACTTATGAGAGAGAATGAATAGGATTATACGTAATGATTGGAATCATTTGACACGGTGCCTTACTACAAACACGTTGATTTCGTTCTTTCAACTTCGATTGCATAATCCCTCATCAATCCCAAAGCGAATACTTGAAGAATTAAAGTACATCCTGATATTTTGATATCGAGAATCATTACAGTTTCTCAATAATATCTGAATTACAACATTTTAACTGTATGCTTTTCAAGTGATAATTCCATTGTGAACGTTTCGTCAAAGCCTTTATTTCTTAAAATGACATAGGATATTTGACTTCTTTGTTAATGTTAACCGCTGCACAGGCTCTTTTGAAATGAATATTTAATTATAAAAACGTTGTAGATAATTCGGTAAATAATTATAGGTTGGGGAAACCTCGTTGCCATGTAGTGATGCCAGTAAATTACTTATTCTGATGCTGTCAAGTCCTACACAGCGAGATTTGTTTGTACCTGCAAACCAACGAAGAGTTTGCTGTCGGTTCAGTTCAGTAACTCCTTCGATGTCCGACCACCTAAATGCCAAAAGCCGAAAAGATACAAATATCTTAAAGCAGTGATTTTACTTAGTCGTTTCGAAGGCTCATTTCAGACGTCTCAATAGCGCGAGAAAGAGTTTAATGTGAAAAAAGTAATATTTGCAATTAAAAAAACAGGTAATATCCAGTTACCGTTTGATATATTGTATTGTTCGTGAACATATACGTTTTGCTTTCTTGTTCACGACATAATATGTATTTGATTCGTTAACACAAACATCTGTGAATCGGAACAAGTTTCAATATGTTTGAATATGTTGATAATTTGTTCCCCTGTGTAATACAGGGTTAGAAAAATGAGTAAATACTCTTAAATTGTTCCTCTCCACGGAAATCTTTAGTAAAAGGCGAAAGATTTATTCGTGGTTTTGAAGAGAAACCAGAGTACTTATGAGAGAGAATGAATAGGATTATACGTAATGATTGGAATCATTTGACACGGTGCCTTACTACAAACACGTTGATTTCGTTCTTTCAACTTCGATTGCATAATCCCTCATCAATCCCAAAGCGAATACTTGAAGAATTAAAGTACATCCTGATATTTTGATATCGAGAATCATTACAGTTTCTCAATAATATCTGAATTACAACATTTTAACTGTATGCTTTTCAAGTGATAATTCCATTGTGAACGTTTCGTCAAAGCCTTTATTTCTTAAAATGACATTGGATATTTGACTTCTTTGTTAATGTTAACCGCTGCACAGGCTCTTTTGAAATGAATATTTAATTATAAAAACGTTGTAGATAATTCGGTAAATAATTATAGGTTGGGGAAACCTCGTTGCCATGTAGTGATGCCAGTAAATTACTTATTCTGATGCTGTCAAGTCCTACATAGCGAGATTTGTTTGTACCTGCAAACCAACGAAGAGTTTGCTGTCGGTTCAGTTCAGTAACTCCTTCGATGTCCGACCACCTAAATGCCAAAAGCCGAAAAGATACAAATATCTTAAAGCAGTGATTTTACTTAGTCGTTTCGAAGGCTCATTTCAGACGTCTCAATAGCGCGAGAAAGAGTTTAATGTGAAAAAAGTAATATTTGCAATTAAAAAAACAGGTAATATCCAGTTACCGTTTGATATATTGTATTGTTCGTGAACATATACGTTTTGCTTTCTTGTTCACGACATAATATGTATTTGATTCGTTAACACAAACATCTGTGAATCGGAACAAGTTTCAATATGTTTGAATATGTTGATAATTTGTTCCCCTGTGTAATACAGGGTTAGAAAAATGAGTAAATACTCTTAAATTGTTCCTCTCCACGGAAATCTTTAGTAAAAGGCGAAAGATTTATTCGTGGTTTTGAAGAGAAACCAGAGTACTTATGAGAGAGAATGAATAGGATTATACGTAATGATTGGAATCATTTGACACGGTGCCTTACTACAAACACGTTGATTTCGTTCTTTCAACTTCGATTGCATAATCCCTCATCAATCCCAAAGCGAATACTTGAAGAATTAAAGTACATCCTGATATTTTGATATCGAGAATCATTACAGTTTCTCAATAATATCTGAATTACAACATTTTAACTGTATGCTTTTCAAGTGATAATTCCATTGTGAACGTTTCGTCAAAGCCTTTATTTC